AATCGCTTGAATTAAGCCCAGATAAATTGAGCTGCAGACGTATTATAGTATTATTTGATCTTGAAATTTTAAAAGCGTACTTTTTTTAAACTTTTCATGATGATTTAGATACTATACCTTCAAATTTTACGTTAAAAAATAAACACACACACGCACGCAGTCAACTATCGCTGACACAAAGCGAATAAGACTTACCACTGTTTCTTTCTCTTTGTTTCCACTTATAAGAATGTTAACAAAATTCAAATTAAACGGACCATCTTTTGAAATAAGATGGTCCGTTTTTTTTTATCTAAATCGTATTTAATTAATCATTTGTTTCACTTACTTAATCATTTCATCACTTTATCTAAATCATTTCTTTTTTATCTCTAAATCATATTTACTTAAGTATAATTAACCTAAAATAACTAACTTAGCTTTAATAACTAACCTGAAATAGAATACCAGCACACAATTTTACATATTATAAATGATAAATTACATAGCAATACTTGATAAAAGGAATGCAGTAATTTTAACATTTCTAAAATTTCATTTTAACCGCAAATAGACATAGAGATATAAATCATATAATATATACTTTACAGTCAGTAAAGTGCAAAAATCTGTCTTAGTGTTAAATGTGTTTAAAAAATTAAACCTTAGAAAACCTTTCATAAATGTTTTATTCCGTATTTAAAATTTAGGTATATAACAGCGTTTCTCAAACTGTGGGATTTGCGCATGGCTCTCCTCACTTTAGTCCCACTCCATTGGTACTTGGAGACAATAGGTCAGTGCATCTGAACCCAACTTCGACGCCGCATCTAGAGGATTATGAATCGTCATTCACGATGACACTGAAGGTATGCCTTTTTCACGACAGGTCGAAATTCCTCTTTGACTCAAATTGTACGCGACCCACATGTGCGAGGGTGACCCAACACACAAGACTATTTACAGGAGCGTACTTTCCGTAGATCGCTGAGACCAAAATTGTCTAGATGTCGTAGAAAGAAAAGGTGTGGCGACATCAAAGCAGTTTTCCGAATCTGCTCGCATGTGTTATCCCTCAGGCATGAGAGAAGAATAGCCGGTATTTTTTGGTACCTACAATGTCCCATCTGGACATCTTGACAATTATTGTCGGGGTGTGCTCAGCTAATGAGCCGACGGCACAATAAGTTCATCGACACAATTTGAACATGAGTCATTGGAATAACTTGGAATTTTATTAATGTATCCGCGTATACGATTACATTTTATAATTCACTCTAAAATTTTAACAACTGTTGAAGTAACTCATAATCATATTGTAGTGAAAAAAATAGTTCACTTCGGTTGCCATGGACACGGACTCACGCGCCCGGTTGCGGGCGACTTGCGAAAAATAACTTCCTCTGTTTTCTTTGGATTAACTTTAATTTTTGTGTCACGTACTTATTTTAATTAATTGCAATTCTTTCTTCACCTCGTGCTTTTATTTTTATTGTATTTTTATTTATAAAAGTTAACTGTAATTATAATCATGCAAAGTTCTGGAACTTTCGATGGCAATATATAAGGAAAGGAAATATTCAGTTTTTAGAATAAAGTCTTCAGCTGTGTCTAGCAAGAGTTGTTTTCTTTTTGTTTGAGTATCGAATTACCATATTAATTTAATCTACGCAACAATATCTTTTACATTAAAATAAATGTTTTAAAAGGAGAATGAGCTTTTTAAAATTTTTAAGGTAATACGAAAAAAGCTTAGAAAAGTTTCTGCGTCTTAGCTTGTTATGCCTTTTAAAACCCTTAAGTGAGAAGTATAATGCATGGAACAAAATGGTCTCAGTGAAAAAATAAACTCGAAATGTAAATTTTCTGTTGTTCAAATTGATTCTCGTTGGACGAAATTTCTCTCTAAAAATGTCCAAGGATAAAAAAATAAATAAATTGTACATTATTTTCTTGAAATAACTAGCTGCTGTATTTTGATACGACATGTGGAATATCGAATACGTGAAAAAATTGGCTAAATTGTTACGTATACGCATACAGAATTTCTATTTGGCACTCAAATTTGCTCTATGTTCCAATTTAGCTGTTGTTTCGGCATCTTTAGTATGCACCTATACTAAGAAGGAATTCTCCATTTTTGCCTAAAGAATTTCTCTTTCAAATAAATAAAATGTTTTCCTTGTGAAGATGGAATTTACTTGATTTTATTCGAAAAGTTTTGGCTGTGTAAATACAATATCGAGGCAAAAAGTTTGATCAAAAATTTGGTGGAATGCTTTGTTTGCACGATTTAAACAATTTAGAAGAGATAGAAGTTGCCAATGATAAGTTTCAGCTATAACATTTGTAAAAGTTAAGATTATATGCTTCAGTAATTATTCATGCTAATGCATGAAACTGTGAAGGATTTGTTGAGACTCTTCTTAATGCTCGAAGATATGAATGTCTTTCCAATTGAAATTGGTATAAAATATTGTTCACAAACCCTCTTAATAGTTCAGGTATCCGAACACGTTAAAATGATCGAATTCGGTAAAAACGCACATTTTTTGTTTTTTATTTCATAGGATGGATCTATCTTTTGGCTTTACAAAGAAATACTTTTTTTTACGTTACCTTTAGGCCAAGTTAAAATAAATTTTAAATAGAAAAACCGGAAGTGGCTCTTTAATCTACCCCAGAAGTGGGAATTTAAATAGTTCAGAATTTATGAAGGGGCGAGTTTAATGATGAATTTATTTCTATAAAGCTTTTTGAACTTTATATTTATATTATTTTCGAGAGATTGCACTAAAATGTTTCTTATCGTATGAATATTTTTCAAATTGTGACCTGCTATTTAAATAATGGTCTCCTAAGGATAATGTCACATTTCTTATGACACATTTTCTCGATCAGCTCTGAGATTTTAAAATTTTAATAAAACATTAATATTTTAGTAGATTCCCTAGATAAATGCATCGAATTTGCTTTGGGGGTATATTTACAGATATAAGTTGATTACTTTTTTTCTCAAATTGCTTTGAAATTTTAAAAAAATACTGTTGAAGTACTTATTATAATTGTGGTTTTTGTAAAATTCAGATAATTTTTTTAAAAAATATTGTTAGTCAAAAGAGAGAGAGTTAGTATTTATTGATATTGATTCCTAAAAAAAGTATTCATAATGTCATAGTATGCTATTTTTTAAAAAAATACTCCGAAATGTTTGGATACCTTAGAATAAATTGATTTAATAGTAAATCATGCTGTGGGTGCTCAATTTTAGAGGAATGTAATTATTTGAAGGAAGTAAATAAATCTTCATACAAAAAGACAGTTTGCAGTAATGTTTTATTTAAACTTAACTAATTTTAATTCTTATTTATTTTTTCGGATGATATTACAAATACTTATTTTTTTTCCATACTGTGTTGACGAAGACGTTCAAGATATGTGAGAAACAAAAGATTTGCCATTTTGACTTTGGGTTTCTGACTTAGGAGTGTTTTGTTTACTTAGATTTAGATCGCATACTTTGGAGAATCTAGGAGGATTATTTAGAAACATGTATATCTTTTCATACAGTGTGAAAACTTGCATATCATTCGAAATATGGAGTTTTGAGGAATGAAATTTTGAATGCAGTTTCTTGAATTCGATGTGTAGTTAATAGATAGCGTTGTCAATAGCTCATGTAGCCTATGCACGTTAAAACTCTCGAGGCTCAAAGTTAGTCCTTTGGCGTGGTATAATAGTTCGGTGAGAAAATGCCAACTCAAGTGTCATCCTCGGCACTTGACCGAGGTTCAAAATTACAAGGTCCGTCACCAATTGCCCAGCCCCATCCCCCTTTTTTTCCCCTCAATCTTTAAACCTTATTTATTTTTCTCACACAATATATTGCAGATTCCTGCTTTAACTCTTAGTTAACAATTTGAGTATACTTTAAGGTTAATTTCTTGGTTTTTTTTTCTTTTAGCAAAAATGATTTCTTCAATAAAATTCACTAATTTCTCTTCCCCCCTTTTCTCTCCCTTTATTTATTTTATTCAGCTGCATCCTTCCTTTATGCTTATTTAAAATAAAAATGGAGAAAGAGATCTCGAAAAAAATAACCCTCTTTCCGGTGATTTGTTTTTAACTATAGAACCAATTAAGAGAAAAAAAATATTAACAGGAAGTTTTTGGCATCAACTGAAAATATGATTAAAAAGAAACCTTTTATTAATTTTATTATTTATGTTTCCCGTCTTTCTTTCTCTTTTTTTTTCTCTCTTTTTGTCTGTATCGTGCTTTTGTATTGCATAATTTTATTATTTTTTTTTGAATTCGTAAGAAAGTTGGAATATGTTTATTCTTTCTTCCATCTCTTTTACTCCTTATGCAATTATTATTATTATATATGCCTTGTATATTTGTATTACGTTCACGACTATGTATGTATATAGTGCAGTTACCTTTAAATTTATTTTTCGTTATTTTACTGTCTTCTACCGCTTATAAAATGTAAACTTTGATATTTTTTTCACAATAAAGATTGGATTTGAGAGTGGTTGTTTCCCGAGGGATCAGTTTGTAGCTCTAAGCCCTTTTCGGGTGAGCTCGGTTCCTTTGGGCATTCCGCCAATTGCCGTCATATTGCTCTCTAATGTGACATTAATATATAATCATTCGACAAAAAATATTAAATAGATCACCTGACGTTTTATTTGATAATTAAAACATAAATTCTTTTTTGTTTCTCCTTATTTCTTGTTTGCCATTAAAAATTGTATACTTAAGGTAGTTTTCATTATAAAAAGAACAAGTAATATAAAAAAATAAAGTCAATTCTTACTTATGTCAACAAATAAAAATTTTATTTGTTACTTTTCATTAAATAATTATAATTAATATAAATATGTATATACATAGGAGAGAATCACAATATTACGTAGCAAAATAGAAAGGGATTTTCTATATGGTGTTGGACCATTATTTTTGTGATTGTTGCTATAATCTTATTTATTCATAAATCACATTATCAGAAATTAAGGCATCCCAGGTAGGATTCGAAACCACGACCTTTGGATCAGAAGTCCAACGCGTAATCCATTGCGCTACAGAGACACACTACGGGATTTTCCTTTTTATATATGGTGTTGGGCTATTATTTTTGTTACTATTAATTAATTAATGTTTGAAAAAACTGTTTTAACATCAAGTGGCATCCACTACAAGTTTAAACAAATATATTTGAACTTGAATGGATCAACTGAAAGAATTTTATTAACGATTGAAAATTTGAAGAACATATATAAATATATAGGGAAAGTGTAAACTAATAGTAGAAATTGAAAAAGAAAAAGAAACATGAACTGTGTGTATCTAATTCGAATATTTAACGATCGATGAAAAAAAAAATGTTACACGTCAATTTGATGAATCTTCTCAATTTATAGTTTCGAAGAAGTGAATTTTTTAATCGAACCAAACACTAGAGATATACGTCAAAGCTTTATTCCACCCAATCGATCAAAATTTTAGTAATTTATCAAAAGTTTCAGTACCAACTGCCATAAAAAGAAATCAACCGTTCATTTTTAATTACTGGAAGCAAAAAAGAAAAGAAATTAATCCACTGACTTTCTTTAACGCGTAAAATCTGTATATGTAAATTTTGTTAACATGAGTATAGGTATCTCCGTGGAAGAAAGCCGTGGTTTGGCGATTGAGATCAACTTAGTGCTTTATCAATCATTATGTTTAAATTTATTTCTCAAACCTATTTTTCATTTCGTCAGTCTGCCTGTTTCACGTTTTCTTTAACCTAGCATACAGTTAACATCGTTTAACACGAAACTGAGGAGGCTGAAATATTTTTTCCTGTTAAAAGTTATTGAAAAAAATATTCAACATTAAAATATAAATTTATTATAGTACATTTTATTCACAAAGATTTGTATATACATGCATGTATTTAATAAAAATTAAATGATAACAAAGATTTGTAATTTTATGAAATTTGATTGTAACTCTACAACAATAGACTAAATTCATGACCATCACAGTATTAATGCAATCACATGTTTGTGATTGAATTCAAAGCCAACGTTAGACGTTTACTTGCTGTTATACATGACAAAATTTATATAAAATTTCAAATTTGATATTTGGGTAAAAATGTCCAATTATTAAATTTCTTATAAAAAAAAGTATTTAAAAAAACTGTATTATATTCGTACCTTTAAATAGAACATTTTGGTTATCTCTGCGCATTATTATTGTTGACAAATGTGTACTTTTTGAAAGAAAGTTTTTATAAAAGGCTGAAGTTAGCTACAACGAAGAGCTCAAATGATTGGCTAGAAGCATGTTATTGTATTTATCACATGACTGTGACGTCACATTAATTTATGAACTGATTGGCTGGAAACACGTGATTACAGCTCTCATAAGACTATGACATCATATGAATTTTAATCATTAAATTAAAAGGAATAAATGATTTTGAGGAAGCATTTCAGATTTCCCTATTTTTAAGGTATCCGACTACGTTCGGAATCGTGATTTTAAAAAAGCGCATAAATGGATAATTTCCATGATATTTAGTGTCACTTAGATTAGAATACATGTATAAAATTGTCTTAAGGACATTTTGACTAAAAATTTTTTTTAAATACACTATTTCGGCAAAACATTAACTTAGAATAACCTTTTTTCAAAATATTCTCCTTTTGTGAAAAATGACTCTATTATAATAATATTTTGCCTGTATATAGCTCAGAACTCTGTACAGAGGCCCAACTATCGTTTTTGAAAAATTCACATTATTTTCAGAGTTACAAAGAATTGAAATAATTATCGGCGTTTTTTTCTTAAAATTTCTCTCCTTTGTGGTCGTAAACCATGGATAAATCCACTTTTAAGTTATATATTTCAAAAACTCTAGTTGAGCCTCTGTATAGAGGTCTGAGCTATATACAGGCACACTATTATTATAATAGAAGCATTTTTTACAAAAGGAGAATATTTTGAAAAGGGGTCATTCTATGTACATTTTTTGTCAGAATATTGTACTTAAATAATTTTTGATTGTAATACCATTCTTGAAGCAATTTTATATACATTTGCTAATCTAAGTGACACTAAATATCATAAATATTATCTATTTATACGCTTTTGCAAAATTACTGTTCCGAACGTAGTCGGATACCTTAAGCAAATTTTCATTGTAAAATGTCAAGATGTCTAAATTATTTACAAGAAAATTACATTTACTTTTAATATTTATAATTTTTTAATATCTAATCAAACATCAACGTTGTTTTTACTTTATTTTTATTATGGCTAACTTGTAGAGGATGTCATCAAGTGTTTGCTCTTTCATGAACCTTACCTGCGCAAAATTTTGTTATTTTTATTTTTCTATTTTTTTCATTCAAAAGTCTTTTTTAGATTATTGAGATAAAATTAAAAAGAGTGTTCAGAGTGTTCGATTAGCTACTGGATAATATCTTTTAAATGAAAATAAGAAAAAAAATAACAAAATGAGAAGCAAAATTTAATTAAGAGCGATCAGAAAAAGAAAATTTTTCTTACGACATTAAAAAATAAGATGTGTTAAACTTGACGTGAAAATAAATATCTTTGAACACAGTTCAGCAACTTTTATACATTTAAGGAAAACGTTTTTTAAAAATTCGCATAATTCTGGTAAAAGTTTCTTATTGACGAGAAAGGATAAATTTTTAAACAGCAATGAATACTTTTTATAATTCTTCTCCCAAAATTTATTCTTAATCTTTTATCGTGTTTTGTATTTTTAAAATTTTTACTATGCTCTGAAAACTTATTGTCAGGGAATTTAAAAAACACACACACACAATTATCCATCATAATGGGCTTGGTGGCTTAGAGGTAGCTTGTTTGCCACGTAAGTCCAATTTTGCCAGTTCGATCATGGCTGGAGTCAACAGATTTTCTGGATACGAAAATCGTAGGTCATATGATTATGTGTCGTGTAAAATATTCCTTGAATATTAATTTGGCTCTAGTACTCTTAGTAAAATTAAATCATAGCAAAATTTAGCCTCCAATGAGACCTTGCATTAAAATTGGTGCTAGTTTGATACCACAAGGCATGACGCCAAGCGCTGCTTGGCGCGATAAAGGAATCACGCCGTAATGTTATCGCCCATCTTTGCGAACATAAACAACAACTTGGCACGTGCCCCGTGATATCAAAATAGTTCCTTAAAATTAATTCCAGGGTCAAACTGCGGTAGCGAAAGCCGTGAATAGATGGTGCCACCATTGAAATGGCTCTCACACTTGGGAGACTTCATGTATTTGGAAATGCTCATGTGCCAAATTGCAGCCCATTTGAAAAAAAATAGTTATGAAATATTTTTGGTTTGATATAGCAGATATATTTTACAATGAAAAATTCAGCAATTTTATTATTTTAAATAAATTGCATAGGGCCTGGAACAATAATTACTCCCCCAAAATAAACTGAAATTAGTTTTGAGGTTTTTAAATTAGATCCTTAAAATTTTTATTATTAAACTAATGAACGAAAATTTTTATTATTAAATTACCTAACGAAATATTAAGTTATCGTTTACTTTTTAAAACCATAACAAAAAGGATATTTTGAAAGTAAAAAAAAAAAAAACAAGGTATTTGTGTAGTTGGTATGCAATTTATTTTTAATTTTTAAATGGTACTGGTATAAAAAATTATACGTTGGGGAATTTAAATATTATAGTGTTAAGTAAAGGGTTAGTGTATGCACTGCTTATATAATACTTAAATTTGACTGCTTATTTAAAAACTGATGGTGTTAAGTTTGCATCAGATTTGCATTAGATTTTACATAATATTTTTCAAAGAATTTATGTTTCATGTAAGAATTTGAAGACAGGAAAAGTAAATTTCCACCTTTAATTTCACTATTTTAATTTACAATTTAACTATCAATTTACTAATTTAAATCTTTACTTTTATAAGTTTGTTTTTATGTTATTTATTTTTTTTTGTCATGAAAATATTCGAAAATTCAGACTATATACTTTACTTCAAACCACCTTCAATGTGTTCAGTAACTTTAAAACAACCAACTCCTATCTCAAATATTTAGAAAACAAATCCAGAGTAAATTAAAAAAGGTTTGCTAATTAAAGTCTGAAAACAAAGTTTTCGAAACTGTTGAAGGGCTTTTCGGAGGAGCCATTGTTTCACAAACTCTTCAGGCGGCACTCCATTTTAAACCACGTTTTTTAATCCCCCTTGGACTTTCTTAATTAACTCACTTACGCGATATTTTTGATAATGGGATTTCTAGAATCAAAGTCTATTCATTCAGGAATGAAGTCGGTGTCTTTATGAACAAAGTTAATTTCTAGCATATTGCACTTGGCAGCTAGAAACATGTATTTTTAGAAACTTTTAAGTTACAAATAAGTATTCATGTTCATAGCGAATAATTTTAATTATTAAAATACTTTTTGTAGATGTGTAGAGAAACTTCTTTAATTTTATGAATGTGAATCAGAAAATGACATTATTTGGTTATGATTTACCTAAACTCTTTTGGTGACAGGTTTTGTTCTTTTTAAAAAAACATCAACATCTGAACCATACTGATACTTCATTCTCTCATTTCATAAATGAGTTTCTAAAATGTTTCCCTGAATTAACTTTGAGGTCCATTTGAATGAAGTAGAACTGCATTAGTTTTTATAACGGTCTGTTGAACGAAGCAGAAGCAGAAATTCTTGAATAGGTAAGAAGCAATTAAGAATGAATTCATATAAGAAGTATTCTCAAAATTTCATTCTTAATGAATTTAAGAATGCGTTCGATTTTGAGAGCTAGTCTTAATGTATGACAAAATAATGCATACACATTTCTGCTTCCAGTAAAATTTGCCACATTTGTGTTTTTCAAAGCAAGAATTAATTGAGAAGAAAGAAACATGTAAGCAAGTCTTATAATAGTTCCATGTGCGTACAAAATTTGAATCTTTAAAACTACATAATACTCTTTTTCAAAAAAAAAAAAAAAAAAAAAAATTGGATACATTAACAGTCAATATAATCGATGTTTTATATTCAGATTAAATT